TAGGCAAGCTGACGCTTCATCCGTGAAGCGTCCACCACTTGATCTATTACTTCCTTAGTTAGAGTGAGAGTGGGTGCTAGACCAACCCGTTCTTGAAGCAACATTTTACACTTTGAAGGTGTAAAACGCATACTGAACCTGGTTACACTAGCACTTGAACTATCCAGAAAGGCTTGCAACTTACCTGGATCTTCACTTAGTAGCACAAAGTCGTCTCAATATTCTAGATTAGATAGCCTGCCGCCCGGGAGTAAATAGATGCCACTGTCCTCGCGCGAAGATAGGGCTGTTTCCGTAATCAGATCTATAACGAAGTTAAATAGAAAAGGAGAGAGAGGGTGAACCTATCGAACACCACTTTCCGTGGTGAACTCGGGCCAAAAAGTACCGTAAACTTGGACTCGACTTCGGCTATTAGTATAAAAGGGATTGTAAGATTGAAATCAGCGGCTTCAATTCGATGGGCATCGTGAAAACGCATTCACATTGCGCGCGCGCGCTGTGTGAGAGGCAAGTAAGTGAACAAAAGGAGACCAGTAGAGAGAATTTTTAGATAAACCCAGGGGAGAGAGAATTTGCGGAACGAAGAGTGGAAATGAAACGATGAAAATCAACTGGGGCGAAGGGATTTGTTCGGGAGAGATTGAGAGGAGTAAAGATTTAGAAACATCGAAACAACACAAGGTTAGTAGAACCCCTTACATAGTGAGAGATTGGAGGGGCAAGAGATGCCACGGCGATTGTGATCGATGTTATTAGTGGCCTGACAGGGTAAGATAGAACCACGGAGTGTGGCATCATCGACGAGGCAACGAATGGGATGGGGGATGTGCACTCTCGACTAGTAATCACAAACGCGTCGTCAAAAGTCACCGACTAGACAGCCATCGGGTTTCTCCACTTACGTGAGACGAACCAAAGAACTGCGTCCACTGAAATTCTCCGCACTTCCAATTTAACTCTACTGCAGTTCACCGAAACGATAGTGATATAAAAATGAAAGTTTGACTTGTTTAAACAAAGAACTGTTTATCTTACTGGTCTTGCCGAGGAAGAAATATGGATTTTGGAAAACTGTTACCACAAACAAGATCATTTTTCGTATTCCTTTTATTTGACATGATTGTTGGTATGCACCTGAAGAGATAGAGCAAAATTCAACCGGATGTCCACCGTAAAACATTTACCTACATTGGCATGTCGGTACTTGTACACAACTATTGTGAAGTGTGAAGTGAGAAAAAAATGTACATGGGTTTAAAGTATTAATTTTTCACTGAATGTGCACATTCAATCGATCCCCCAAGAAATGGGGAGCAATAACTGAGGAGCGACCAGGGGATACCGAAAAGTAGGAAAATTAGACGCCAGTAATTGGGTCTGAACACAGTTCCGACCACCAGATACTGTGTTTACCGGTGAGAACCTCAATATCTAAGCAGGATATTTGAGTACATCAGAAAAGCAATTAAATTAGACAGTTGAAACTTCAATCAATCAGGTAGACAACAGCAACTGACAGATACAACTATGGACAAATCAATGTGAACTAAAGGCATACACGAGGAAATACAATTACTGAATTTGAAAAAGGCACCAGAAAGAAATTAGGAACCAGCTGTGGTTCCGGATGCCCATCTGATTATCCTTCTGAATAGCTAACGTAAGTTAATTGCAGAATAATTGGGCAGCAGCTGATCAGAAACCTGATATGACCGAGAACAGTGGTCAGTAGCGAAGTGGAAAAGGATTGTCGAGGTTGCACAGTTGGACAAAAGTGATGGTAATTCATGTTGATATTGTCTAGCGAAAAAAAGCTTTCATCAGAGTTTACTATTTTCGCCAACCACCACATCCTCGGATGTGGTGCTTATCAACTTCTCTGTGTTCGTGTAGATTTTAAAGTGTAACGTGTTGTCACATAGTTGATAATTAAGAGGTACTGTAGGAACTCACCGGATGCCGTACACAGTAGCGATGTTATGATGCTTCAACCTGCGCTGTAGTTCCGCTTCTGTTCGTAATTCGGCACGAAGTTTAGCAGCCCGTTTTTCCGGAGACAGCAAGGAAGAGGACCCAGAGCGACCTAACACGTTTACCACTTTAGCTGCCAAGCAGTCCTTTGTTTCCGGGTTTACAACCAAGAATACACGGCCCATGCAGCCTTCGGCCAGACAATGGGATAGCTGATAACCAGGAGGTAATATTGGTCCTGCCTCGGCTTGTATAGCCTAGACAAAGAAAACGGTGGAAGAATAACTAAATGCCGAAGGACTGCTCGATTTGGTTAAAAACGCTGCCAATAAGTGCAACCAGAACCAGAATGCGAGCCGGATTCAAATATGATCTATGTTCTCCAGCATAGGTATTGAGGATGGAGCCTCGCGACGAAGTGAATGACTTTCGGTATGTGCTTCAGAGGTATGGTCGTTTGCTGGTTTCAAAAGACATGTCACAGTCAGAAACGTCAAACAGCAAGGAAAATTAAAAAAAAAACAAGCTTTTCATGTACAAAATGCAAATTCTGTGGGAACTTTGAACTGACTAACCTTCTCGATTGAAGACTCCTCTGAATCCTCTAAGCTTGTCAGCGTGTCCGTTGTTCGGGTGCTCAATGCTGAAGCACCATGGAGATCGATGGATTGAACGGAATTACTGAGTTCATCACAATATACCGACACAGACATTGCATTCAAATGGCTGTAATAAAAGAAAACAGGTGGGTTTCCGGTAATAATCTGGATACCCTCGGGGGTTAAGCAGAGATGAATGCTACCAGGCGCGTCCCCGGGTTGTGGATAGGAGATACCTTCACCGAAGAAGGTTAGTTGTGAATAAGTTGTGCCAAACCGCAACAAATAAGCAGTAGCGAACAAACAGCGGAGGCACTAACATGGTGTGGTGGGTTTTAGGCTGGTCACCTGGCTCCTGTTAAAAATCTGCATAAGCCCAATAACGGTGTCGTGACAAAGGCCGAGGTGACTGCCCCTTTAAAAATAAAGTCATTGACCCCCTCACTTCCGAGGTCAGGGCTTAGAAAACGGAAAGTAAAAGACAACAAGACTAGGAAACTGAAGAGAACGCAAACCATACACACGCAAAATAAAGAGTGAAAAATAAAAATCAACTTAAACCGCGAGCAAATGGAAAATATCGATCACACATGGAAACACCAATGAACAAATACGATGGTGCTTATTGTTCCCGTTTTAGATTTTACAACCATTAAACATGCACTTTCGTGCGCCAGTCTCCGTTGCTCTCAGATGGCCGTTAATTTGGATAAAAAAGCAGAGTGAAGATTGGAATGTTGAGAGCGGAGTCCAAGGGAAGATAAAGAAGTCATAAAGACTGATTGCAATATTGAGTAAATGCACGAGCGCCACTGTTTGCGACACAGTGTCCTGGTCAAGGTTTTCATAACCTCATGCCAAGTCTTAGTTTGACCACTCTTGACCTTTTTCAATCCACTCCCCGCCTCGGCTAATAACGCGCGCCGTGGCAACCTATTTGGTGACATGCATAGCACATATCCCAAACAGCGTAATCTATGGAGGTCAACCACTTGCTCCAGTGAACGACTGTGATTACCTAAAACTCTACGCCTGACTTCAGCATTGCTCGTCCGGTTTTCCACCAAACTCGGACAATGTATATCGCATGTTTTCTCTTTCTATATCGCTGGCATACGTGAGAAACCGAAGCTGAGTGAATTTCAATAATGATTTAATGCAAGTGACATTCGATTTTTCACACAATAACCCAAACCGAAACCACTCAAAGAAGATCGCTGGGCCAAAAAAAGATAGGAAAAATGCGCTGATTAGGAATCACAAATGAAGGAAGCGTTCCTGCATCAGTCGTGCTACTTCTGATAAGAAATCATTAACGTATACCTTGCTGTGCGACATAAACGGTCGTCGAGCAAAAGTTAAAAATGCTGAGATGGGTCGAACACTTTCACCATTAACGGAACGCACAACAAAACAAGATCACACAAAAGCAGCAGATGGTATAAAACTACATACCATGAAGTGCGCGCCAGAGAAGCAAGTAGAAATTGCCTCGATGATTAGGAAACTGCAAAGAGAGGCCCCAGGATAATGATGTACACTACTGGGAGCATTTGAATCCCGCATTTCAGTCCTGCTTAACTAGCTGGTTTCGCCGTTCAATGAGAAATAAGGAATGGAAATTCTCCTGTAAGACTGGACGATCGCTGCTCTAGTGCCCATCTCCCAAAAAGGCGACAAGAGTGAGAACGAGAACTAGTGAGGTATCAGTCTGACCGACAACTGCCAAACTGCTCATACTGATAGCGCTTCGTCAATACGAGACAGAGGTAGATATATAATTTAACCGGCTTGTAGACAAGCATGGTGCCAACGCTACGACAATAATAGGGGGTGGGTGGATTGGGACAGAGAAAAACGTGCAGAGGGTGAAACGGTTAAACACGGGAAAATGGTAGATAGCTGGGATAACAATTTTTTGCGTTTCACCGTACACTTTTTGACATTTCCTTTGTGTTGTTTGTTATTTTTACGGGGAGCAGGATTTCGACAGGCAGACCGTACATGCGCGTATTCGCATCACTTACTTCTATTCTCTAAGCGTCCCTAACCAACGACAATCCTCATTCCTTGGGCCCCTACTTGAATGGTGGGCTGCACCAACCGAANCTCCTTCCAGCCTTGCCCGATACGTGGAAAGATAGCACGGAAAGGTAGTCGATGGGCAGGCATACGCAATACGTGACCAAGCCATCAGTGCGGTGTAGATTACTTTTGTTAGAGAACGACTACCCGCACCAAACACACGACGACGAACCTCGTCGTTACTCACCCGGTGTTCCCATCAGACACGAGCAGTGCTTCGGAGACATCGGTGGTCAAATACAGAAAGTCAATTAGCATGCTCAACGCGGTCGGAACTGAACGACTTGTTTCAAGAAGGCGTAGAGACTCCGCAGATATCAAGGGTGTCACGACACGACGTGTCAGACCACAACTAACTAAGCCAACAGAATGCAGAGCATTCTTTATAAGCGATCAGTGCTGGTTAACATTTTCGGGTGGGGTTGGTTTTAGCTTTTCAGCTAGCGCGTTTTGGAAGACAGTTAGACAAGCTGGTTTAGATAACTTA